CGCCAGCGCGGTGCCCCCCGCGGGCCCGGCCCCGGCCCCGCCCCCGCTGCACAGCCAGCAAGGGCGGCCCCGCTGCAGCATCGTGCGTCTTCGCTGGGGCAGCCAGCGCCAGCCCGTTGCTCCCAGGCTTTGCGGTTAAAGTCCAATCCTGCTTAAGATACTCGCGCAGGGGCAGGGAGAGGCTTAGGCTGCGAGAGCCCCAGCACTCGCCCTGCCTTCGGTGCTGGCTCCCCCGCTTCCCGGGATTAGGTGCATTGCTGTGAGCCTTCCCGCCGAGCCCTCCTCCGGCAGATTTGTCCTGGCTTGCCTGGGCTGTGTTTTCCTCAAGCTGAAGGGACGTAGGCGGCTAGAGGCAGAAAGACTTAGTGGAGGTGGAAGCTCGCACCCAGGAAGCGCCCATGAAAGACAGACTGGTGCAACCGGTGCCGCTTCCCTCCTCGCGCAGCGCCGGCTCAGCTCCCCTTCCCTGGCACCCACCAGCGCTGGAGCGGCGCTGGGAGCGAGCGTGGGCATGCGGCCAGTCATGCAGAGCTGCTGAGGCAGCGGGACAGCGCACCAAAATCCCCAGGCCGGAGCTGGGAAGGAGCTGTGAGGAAGCAACACACAGAGACAGGGAAGGCCGGCGGAGCTAACTTCAGCATGGGATATCAGCGACGGTGCAAATCTGATGTGTGCTGCTGCAGGAGGCGTTCGTTTAACACCCTGGCAAAGGCAAGGCTTGCTTGGACATTAGAGGCTGGAGCTGGAGACGGGTTGCTAGTGGGGAGCCTTTGCATCCGTGTAGGCTCCGGTGTCCCTAATGCAAGGGAGCTGAGAGAGGCAGGAAGGCAGCAGGCAAGAGAGGGAGGGCAGGGAGCCTACCGGAGCCGTGAAGGCCACGGTAACCGAAGCCACGCGGGTTTGTCTGCCATCGCCACCAGGCTGTACAGCTGGCAGCAACAGGCTCTATTATTTCAGGTATTTCTAGCAAACACAGAGAGGTGCTGATGTAGGGCCTCGTGTGGGAGCCTGCTGCCGGGGACGCGAACTGCCCCTGCCCAAGGAGGGGTCTGTGCAGCAGCGCGCTCGGTCTCTGCCCTCTTTCCTGCCCCTTCCCCGGTAACTCTTGCTGGTCTGTTTGGTTTTGCGACCAGGGCTAAGCCCTGAGCTGGCTGCTCTAATGTGGCACTTGGGAGGACAACACTGGCACAGGGACAGCTGGTCACAATAAACCGATCCTAAACAAACTGCGCCTGGAAATGAACCACGGGAACAAAGAGAGGCTGGAACAGCCTCCAGGTCGGAGCGGGCAGACAGCAGATTTAATTAGGTTTTAAGCTGGAGCTGGATCAGTCTTTGCGAGAGATTATGACCTCTCCGTCTGCGGCGGCGCTGAAGGGGCCTCGGCGACCTCCTGCGCGGCGTCCCGCGTGGAGCGCTCGGCAGGGCGAAAGCTGTCCGCTTTTGCGTGAGCTGGGCTCGGAGCCGTCGGGGAAGGGGCAGCCACCGGCCCCAGCACCGGCGAGGGCTGGGTCCTCTCCAGTGCCCCAGGGAGGTCAGCGTGGGAGGGCTGCATCTAGTTCGGGTGCCTGCTTTTTTAGAAGGACACTCGAAGCTGGAGTGGGAATGAAAAATAGCCAGAAATATGATTAGAGGATTGGAAAAAATGCCTTGCAGTACAAGCTTTAAGAGCTCAGTCTGTTTAGCCTATAAAAATAGAAGATTGAGGGGTGACTTAATTACAGAGTATAATTACTTCACAGGCAGAAAATACCAGGTAGTAGAAGTCTCTTTAATCTATCTGGCAGAGAACGGATGAGAGGCGTGAGAGCCAGGGGCAGGAAACTGAAGCTACAGACACACTGTAAGGCTCAGCATCTTAGCAGGGAAGCTCCCCACAGATGGGAACAGGCTCCCCGGGGACAGGACGTCCTTCTGGACACCCTCCCGGGAGCTGGCAGCTCCTGGCCTACGCCAGGGGAGCAGCACGGCTCTGCAGGCTGCACTGGCGAGGTCGGATGAGGCTATTCCCCTCTTCCTTTTCTTCTCAGCTGAGTAGCAATGGGGCCAGGGTGGGTTTTCCTGGGGCTGGGTACAGAGCCTCTTGGGCTCGGAGTATCTCTGGTTGCGACTGCTGCGGTTCAGGGCTGCTGGGGAGAGCTGCTGGCTTGGCGCCTGCCTGGGTGCTTCCATCCCACTTCTCCCGTCCTTCTCCCCAGCTGGAGCAGGTGCTGGGGCGCAGCTTTGCCCACAAGCGATGGGGCAGGAGTGGAGATTTTGAAGCCTCTTCCGGGAGTCCCCAGAGCCATGACTGCAACTGTGCAGACGCTGCGTTTCAAGCTGCTGCCGCACGACACGGGCCAGGAGTGGGCACACAGCTGCCAGCAAGAAATCGAGCGTCGCTACCAAGTGGTGCCCTCAGTGGTGTGTGCCATGTGCTGCCTCTTCGGGATCATCTACTGCTTCTTCGGTGAGCCAGGCTGGGGCCCAGCTGCACTAGGAGAGGCCGATGGAGGAAATGGTGGTGGGAGGCAGGGCATGGGGAAGGTGGGGGGGCCCGGCTGGGAGCAGCAGCCCCAAGAGCAGGGCATACACCCACTCGAAGGGAATCAATTCTTGCCTGCTCAGCAGCAAGGAGGAGGGCCAGAGGAGCACCACAAGGGGTGGAAAGTGTGGCACTCGCCCTCTCGTTCAAGCAGAGATCCTGTGCCATGGGGCTGGCTGTGCCCCCACTGGGCATGGCTTCCTCCCTGGGCACCGACTGTGGCCATCTCTCCATAGGCTACCGCTGCTTCAAGGCTGTCATGTTCCTGACAGGGCTGATGTTTGGCTCCATCATCATCTTCATGCTGTGCTACAAGGAGCGGGTGCTGGACACACAGCTGAGCGTTGAGGCCTCGGTGGGCATCGGGCTGGGCATTGGGGTCCTGTGCGGGCTGGTCACCATGCTGGTGCGCAGTGTCGGCCTCTTCATGGTGGGGCTGCTCCTGGGGCTGTTGCTAGCGGTGGCCACGCTGGTGGTGATGGAGCAGTTTTATCACCCACCGACAGTGTGGATCCCCATCGCGCTCCTCCTGGGCGTGGGGATGCTCTTCGCCGTGCTCACCCTGCAGTGGCAGCGGTTCTTCACTACGCTGTCCACCGCCGTCTTCGGCAGCGCCATCATGACCGTCACTGTTGATTACTTCATCGAGCTCTTCCTGCTGGTGCAGTACATCTATGAGCGCATCAAGGTGGCCCCTGCTCGCCCTGTGTGCTGGTACAGCTGGGTCATCCTGGGTGTCTGGCCACTGCTCACCACGTTGGGTGTCCTGGTCCAGTGGAAGGTCACAGCTGAGGGCTACTCCCACACTGAAGGTGCGTGGGGGACTTGGGGATGACCAGGGGCTGGGGGAGATGAAGGTGGCATGGGGTGTCGCTGGGTGCAGGAGCTGGGGAATTCAGGGCTAGGTCAGGCGCTCCCAGGGCTTGGATTTGCACGCGCAGTTAAGGGGTTTGCATGATGGGTGGGCTCTGCAGCACCCAGCAGGGGACCAGGGCAAGGGGACACCTGGCCATGTGTGGTGCAATGCCAGGGACTGCTGTGGGTCTCATCTTCAGGGTGGAGGGAGGCTCAGGCTAGGGTGTTGGGTGAGCTGAGGACCAGGTGGCTGGTCTGGGTGCAGGGAGGATTTCAGGCTCTGGCTGGGTCAAGTCCCCGTGCTCACGGGCCCCCTCTGCCCTGCAGTGATCATCAGCCGGCAGCAGCGCCGCGTGCAGCTGATGCGCATCAAGCAGCGGGAGGACCGGAAGGAGAAGAAGAAGAAGCGGAGACCCCACCACCCGCCGCCCCACCAGCACAAGGCCCACCCCCCCGAGCATGCCTAC